TTTTTGTATTTTTAGTAGAGACAGGGTTTCACCATGTTGGCCAAGCTGGTCTTAAAGTCCTGATCTCAGGTGATCCACCTGCCTCGGCCTCCCAAAGTGCTGGGATTACAGGCATGAGCCATCAAGCCCAGCCTGGATCATCTGTTGTTTTTTGTTTTGTTTTGTTTCTTGGTTCTTTTTTGAGACAGTCTCACTCTTTCACCCAGGCTGGAGTACAGTGGTGCAATCTCAGCTCACTACAAACCTCCGCCTTCCGAGTTCAAATGATTCTCCTGCCTCAGCCTCCCAAGTAGCTGGGATTACAAGTGTGTACCACCACACCCAGCTAATTTTTGTATTTTTAGTGGAGATGGGGTTTCACCATGTTGGCCAGGCTAGTCTGGAACTCCTGACCTCAGGTGATCTACCCACCTCAGCCTCCCAGAGTGCTGGGTTTATAAGCGTGAGCCACCGTACCCGGCCTATCATCTGGCTTTTATAAGATTCATCCTCTCAGCCCCACTTACTCTTCCAAGATAACCTCCCAATGCTCTAGGCACACCTTTGAATTCCTAATCTTCAAACAAAAATTATCCCTTCTGTGCTTTTATACCACACAAACAGAGTTCCTTGGTTGAAGTACATTCATTATTCATTCTCTGAGTTTCTATCATGTCCACTTGTGAACCATATCCTTCCATTTTCTCTGAAGACACAGTACAGAAATTTAAAGTTGTTTTACAGTTCTTGATTTGCAGTTATTTCTATAGTCATCTTCTAAATTCACTCTAGAAATGCCTAATCATTTCAAATTTTCACTCCTTCAGTCTAATTTCCATTTTGAATATAGCTAATATTTCTCTCATTTATGATTTATTCTTCACACTAGATTCATCTCATGTTACAGCACTGGCCAAGCAAGAACCCTATTAGGTTAATATTAACTTCATGTAGAGTGGGTATGATTTTGGAAAAAAATAACCTGCAGAATCAGGGACTCAGAGGTAACAAAAAGGGGGAATATAACCTGAGGATAATGGGTCAGAAATGATGCCATAGCCATTTCTTTTGCTTTCTTTCTTTGGCTATAGTTTTCTCCAATCTCCCTAAGGCCTAATAATCTGCAGGGGGAGAGGAGAATCTCTTGCTTGGATCTATTCAAACTATGGAATATATAATTTAAAAAATGACTCCTTATGAAGTTGCCCCTCTTGACAAGCAAGGTACTCAACTACCATTCTTTTTTATTTTTATTTATTTATTTATTTTTAGGATCTCACTCCGTCACCTACCCTGGAGTGCCATGGTGTGTGATCACAGCCCACTGCAGCCTCAAACTTCTGGGCTCAAGCAATCTTTCTGCCTCCCTGTATCTAGGACTATAGGCATGTGCCATCACATCCAGATAATTTTTAAATTTTCTGTAGAGAAAGGGTCTTGCTATGTTGCCCAGGCTGATCTCATTCTTAATATGTAGTGTTTAGTGCATGTTTTTGGTTTGGAACCAGTTTAATCATCATAAAAATTAAAGTAGTTTCTTTCAAATGCTTGTTTATATTAGGAAAACTTAAAAATTCGAAGTAACTTTCAGTAGTAGATACTGAACCTTGAAACAAAAACACACATATAATAATGAAGAAAAAGGGCAAGAACAGAATAAAGAATAAAAATGACAGGCCAAGTGTGGTGACTCATGCCTGTAATCCCAGCACTTTGGGAGGCTGGGGTGGGCGTATCACAAAGTCAGGAGTTCAAGACCAGCCTGACCAACATGGTGAAACCCCGTCTTTACTAAAAATACAAAAAATAGCTAGGCGTGGTGGCACACGCCTGTAATCCCAGCTACTCAGGAGGCTGAGGCAGGAGAATAGCTTGAACCCAGGAGGTGGAGACTGCAGTGAGCCGAGATCGTGCCACTGTACTCCAACCTGGGCAACAGAGCAAGACTCCATCTCAAAAATAAAACAAAATGATAAAATTTGAATGGATCATTTCTAATACCTTCAGCTATTTCAGAAAGAATAGCCTAAGTGAGACAAAAGAGATGTCTATAGGGAAGAGACATGAAAAGAAATTTCAAAAGCCAGCCAGGATGACCTTATATCCCTGGACTAACGAGCTACAGTTTCTCTGAACTTTTAGAAGAATGTATTACTGGTATACAGTGGGATCTGCAGCTTTTCCTTTCATAGGTACCGGCAGTATATTTATGAATTTTTCAGAATTCCAAATTTGCACACAAGTTAAAGATTTTCAAGCACTATGATCATTTAAACTAATCCATACTGAAACAGCTGCTGAATAAAAAAATAGATGAAATTTTGTGTCTTGATCAATCAAAATGCTGGAACCAGTTACATTCTTTTTTTTTTTTTCTTTTAATTTTTTTTTTTTTTTTTAAAGATGGGTTTTCACCACGATGGCCAGGCTGGTCTTTAACTCCTGACCTCAGGTGATCCACTCACCTCGGCCTCCCAAAGTGCTAGGATTACAGGCGTGAGCCACCGCGCCCGGCGTGGAACCAGTTACATTCTTGTGCAATTTCTTCAGAGTATACTCACTGCCATTCTTTGCTTTTCTCCACCACTGAGTACGTCCATCCAATCCTGAACACTGTCCCAGCCTCCTTCACGTTCAAGGATATGACCCAACTGGACATTGTCTAAGTATTCCTTCAGTACCTTTCAGAAAAATGATTCAAGGTGAAATCAAACTTGATGTAAACCAACATTTTTAATCTTGCTTTGTTTTTTAAACTGGAATCACTACACTTCTACTGTCTGTACCATTTAAAAGATACATTTCAAAAAAGAATGTGGCCCAAGGTAGCCCTGAACCTTTCAGCTCCTATCTACACTAAACTTGACAAAATATATCTAGTAGCATAAAAAGAATGACACTATTGTACATAATAAAAGAATGATGGCAATGAGAAAACAAACAATAGTGTAAAAAAAAAGATTAAACCCTCCATATTTAAGCCAAGGCATTATCATCTTACCTCAATTTAGAAAATCAAAATTGATGGCTTTGGGAGTCTTTACAGATTAAGATAAACTACCTGGCATTTAAAATACTTAACTGATTAAAGAATCTGAAATGGAGTATTTTCAGTGGATCTAGAATATAGACATTCTCTTACTAAGTCAGATATTCCCTTCCTTTTCTGATCTTCTCGTCCATCTGGATATATCACTTGGTCTCGAAGTGTTCCAAGGGTCATGTAAGGTCTCTGACAGTAGTAGAGCAAAAGTCATTAGAAGCAACATTTAAAAAATAAATAAATAAAAAGATCTTTAAATCAAAGATAACTCAAGCTAGGTCTTACCTGAGGAACATAAAATAACTTTCCTCTCTCAGGTTTAGTTAGACGTCCTCCAAAAAGAGGCCATAACTATTAAAAAAAAAAAAAAAGAGAGAGAGAGAAGGGAGAAGAACACCTGTAAAATTTACAAAGTGGTAGATAGTATGGCAAAATAAGACTGTAAAATTTTGAAACCAACTTGACTTACTTCACCAAGAACACGGAAAAGTGAACTCTTTCCGCAGCCATTTGGACCACAGATTAGAACATTAGCCCCAGATCTAACCTGAAAAAAAAAAATCAGTCAAATTAACATATACTCAATGAACATTTCCTTAGACTCAAATATTAATAGCTCTTGGCTAATTATAAGCCTTCTATTTTTCTGTAAATGTAGCATCAGGTGGAACAGGGATGAGGTATTATGAAGGGACCTTTTACTTTGTTTACTTGCAATTTTTACCATTAATTTTTTTCACTTAAAAATAATTATTGCTGGTTGTGGTGTCTCTCACCTATAATTTCAGCATTTTGGGAGGCTAAGGCAGGAGGATCACTTGAAGCCAGGAGTTTGACTATTCTGGGAAATAAAGCAAGACCTTTGTCTCTACAAAAAATAAAAATAAAAAATTAGGCTGGTGTGGTGCTGCACACCTATAGTCTCAGCTACTTGGGAGGTTGAGGTGGGAGGATCGCTTGAGTCCAGCAATTCAAGGGTGCAGTGAGCTATGATATCACCCAGGCTGACAGAACAAGACCCCATCTATATATGTGTATGTATAAATAAATAAATTTATTGACTGATTGATATCATCAACTTAATCAAGATAAGAAGAGCTAAAGTTTAAAAAATTGGGAATTCTTGAAAACAATAAATACATGTGTATACACAGTCACTTTTAAAAACATGAAAATGTACTGTTCTACAATTTGCTTTTATTATTTAACAATATGTCACAGATATTCTTACAGGTCAGTATATTTTCCTTTAATGCCTCAAGCATCTTTCAAGCATCTTCCATAGTAAGGATATACTATAACTGATTTAAACACTCCCCTTTGGTTAAATATTTAGGTTGCTGGCATTTTGTTTTGCTCCTCTAGATAATACTGCAATGAGTATACAAGTCAGCAAGTAAACTTATACAACAGTAAGCAAGCAAGTTTCTGTAGATTCAATTCTTAGAAATTACAAGTGTTTTATTAAAATATATGTGCATTATAAATATTGACAAGTGCCACTATATTATTCTGAAACAATATAAAGATAGATGAGAAAATGTAAAGCGTGGTTAAGTTCTAGGCTTAAGATCTTATAAGTATCTAATTAACCCTGTAAAGAATCAGAAAATCTTAGTTATAATTCCAGCTTACAACATTAAACACCAATGTAACACAATAGGAAACAAAATATCAGAGAGATATGAGTTACCCTAGCTGGTAACCTGTCTTCGACAAATTTGTTAAACTGGTGAACCTTCTGTTCCTATTATTTAATTCAATGAATATTTATTGAATGCTCTCTGTCAGGCTCTGTACTAGGCAAGTAGGCCACACTAGTGAATAAAAGAGACAAAAAACAAGAAACCAAAAACCCCTCTGTCATTACTGGTTTACATTCCAGTGACAAGAGACATACAATGAAGAATATACATAATATGTAAGTAAGTTAAATAGTGAATCAGAAAATAAGAACTTTGGAGGAAAAAACAGATAAAAGAAACTTCAGAGTAGCTGAGGGAAGTTGCATTTTTAAGGTGGTCAGAGTAGACTACTGAAAACGACAATTGGGTAAAACTTAGAAAAGAAGGAGTGAATTAGGATTTAACTATAAGAAGATTGTTCTAGCCCCTACCTTTACCCATAAAAAGCTGGTGCAAAGGCACTGAAGCAGGAATGTAGCTATTCTATTCAAAAAAACAGAAACAAGGCTGATTTTACTGGAAAAGAATGAACAGGAAGGAAGAATAGTAGGTAATGAGATCAGAGAGGTATCAAGTAGGGTAGTGGCAGGCATTGAAAGAACTTTTGCTTTTACTGTGACAAAATGGAGAGCCATCAGCATTATTCACAATAGCCAAAAGGTGGAAGCAAGGAAGCAACCCAAGAGGATGAATGGATAAACAAAATGTGGCATACATACACACACACACACACACACACACACACACACACACACTGAAATGGCATTCAACTTTTAAAATGAATAAAACTCTGACACATGCTACAGTTCAAAGATGAACTTTGAAAACATCATGCTAAATGAAATAAACCAGACACTAAAGGATAAATACTGTATGACTTCACTTATATGTGGTACCTATAGCAGTCAAATTCATAGAGACAGAAAGAATTAGAGGTTACCAGGGGCTGTAGAGAGGAAGGCGGGAGAGTTACTGTTTGTTTAATGAGTACAGAGTTTCTATTTGGGATGATAGAAAAGTTCTGGAAATGGATAGTGGTAGTGGCTGCACAGCGCTGTAAATGTACTTAATGCCACTGAATTACACACTTAGAAATGGTTAAAAAGGCAAATTATGTTTTACATTTTAAAAATTTCTTAAAGAAAAAAGAATGAACCAGCCTAACACAGAGTTGATCAAAAAGAAAGTAACACAATTTACACACATCGTTGTTAAAGAAAGAGCTATTCTAAATGACTTTTCCAAACAAATAAACTTTTTTCTGATAAAGAATCGTTTTCATAGACTTCTTTTTAAATAACATAATTTCCTTATCATATAAAATTGAATATACTGAATGTTCCTCATAAAGCAAGGTTATCATATAAAATAATCATACTCTACTGTAACAGTGATGCCATTAGAAGGTCCTAAAGATCAGGAAGTTGGTAATTAAATGGTTCCCTGCTACCATGCTTTATTTGAGTAATGTCGGCCATATATAAATTATCTGCTCCTAACTGCTCTTTGTCGTTTACTCGGGTATCAATGTTCCTGCCTCCAACAATACCCTTCCACGTTATTTGTTGCAATGTACCAGGAAATCCCAAAACCAGGCTTCTAATGATGTGCATAAATAATAACCAGACTTACTAAAATCCTGAGTTATTCTTTTATGCTCAAAATCAAGCCTGTCTAACCTACTCAGCATTCACTTTACTCCATGGCTTTTGGCAGTGTTGAACAAAACTTCCAATTATGACGTCACCCATGATAAGCCAGTGATAATTTTTCTATGTTAAAAATTTATAAGTATATATTTTTGTGGGGTTAAATTAAGGCTAAAAGCCAACAGTAACATTTACTGAAAATAAAGTTCTTAACAGCACTGTTTTATTGAGGCTCCTAGAATGCTTTACTGGATCAACCAACAATGCTTTCAACCACCATATTTTTACCAATAAAAATATATTCCCCAAATAATACTCCTTGATAAATCCTACTTCCTGTAAATTTATCATAACAAATCATCAAAAATTCTACACATAAAGTAAAAGAAAAATTATATAAAAGTATGGTATTAATGAGGATTGATTAGCTTTTAAAAACACTATAAGTATGCCTTACTGAAAAGGTAAAAGTCTTAATAAGTTATGAAGTAGTTTTGGAGACAGGGTCTCACTCTGTATCCCAGACTGGAGTGCAGCGGCACAGTCTTCACTCACCGCAACCTCTGCCTCACTGGCGTAAGTGATCCTTCCACCTCAGTCTCCTGTGTAACCAGGACCACAAGTGTGCACCACCACACCCAGATAATTTTTCTGTATTTTTCATAGAGACGGGGTTTTGCCATGTTGTCAAGGCTGGTCTCAAACTCCTGAGCTCAAGCAATCCACCCGCCTTGGACAAAGTACTATTTTAATCCTCACATTGTAACCTGCAAGCTGTTACCTCTTTGGGTCTCTCCAGTCTGCATACCTCCCAGAATAAAATCTAGACAGATAAATATGGCTTTCTAGGAAGTTTATAGTGGAAAATGGTACAAAATCTCATATCCCAAAGAAGTTTTTATTATTTGGTTACAATATAGCCCAAAAGGCAAATTAATCATGAAGTAGTCAACATTTATTTGAAGGGCCAAGTCTCAGTTTTATTATGCCTCTTTCCAAGAAAAGAAATCTGTATTTTCAAGTAAGTTAGATGAGTAGAAAATAATTAGAGGTTGCAAAGAACTGAAGAATACTTGTCTACTATTGAAAGGCTATGTTAAGAAAAACAATAAAAAAGACAGAATGAATGTGAGAAACCCAAGTCTACTTTAGAATACTTTAAGTCAGAAAGAGATAAGAATTCATAACAGTGAACCAAAAACACAGAAGTCAGACAAACAGTTCCCAGGGGAAGAGAAAACAAGAATCACAGTATAAACACAATTATGAAGTAAAACACTCCAACAAGTAAGGACATAAGTGGGGACTCAGGACTTCCCAAATGAAACCCAAAAAACAGAAAAAAATAAGGACGTTTTTAAGACTATAAAAGTAAAATTATAGAAATGACAGAAGTCTATTAAATCCAAACATAAGGGCTTTAAAAGAAAAGGCTTTGAACTAAAAAGAAAGTGACAGCTTTAGTGTGTTGACATCATGACCAAAGATTTTTTATGGGCCATAACCATGATCTATCTACTCCCAATCACTCTCCTCATTGTATCCCAACCCCCTTTCTCATTGTGCTTCAGTCATGTGTGCCGTTATATTGTTGACATATTTTATTTCTGCATAAAGACAGGGTGAGGGTAAGTGGGAGAAAGGGTCAAGAGCCATTCTTTAATGAAGTCTCATGTCCCTTTTTATCTTTGGACAATGGCAATAAAGGAGCTACTGGAAATCACGCCTGGCTACCTACTTTGCCAAAGGAACATTCAAGTGACTGAAGTACCTGGAGCTATGTGAGAAAACACTTCTGTGATATGCAGAGCCAGTCTATATTTACCATCTATATTTACATTTTCTGTACTTCATCTTGTATTTCCTAGCTGTGGAATAAATATGATAATGATAGAATACTCACTGCTGAATAAGGTCAAAGTACTTCGCATAACTAACAATTTTCATTTTTATAATTAATTGAGCAGAAAGTAGACATGTACTTAATGGAAATTATTAAGAGCAGAAAACTGAAGACTTACTGTGAAGACTCTAAGAATTTAAAAACAAATCTAATAATTATACTCTTTATTTTATAAACTATCAGACAATATTTCTTCAAAGAAAGCAGTAGGAAAAAAATCCCCACATAAAACACAAACTACAGATGGCCATGCACATAAGCATGTGGAGAGGAATTCTAGAGCTGTACTGTCCAATACCATACCACTACTCACATGTGGCTATTTAATTTTAAATCATAACTAAATAAAATTTCAAATTCAGTTTTGCAGTTGTCCTAGTCACATTTCAAGTGTTCAGTATCTACACATGGCTATTTTACTGGATCGTGAAAGTATAGAGCATTTCCATTATTGCAGAAAGTTAACTGGAAAGTGTCATTCTAGAGAAATGGTGTTTAGAATGGTGAAGATAGCCTATGTGATAGGAATTATGTTACTAATTATGAAGATTTCTGGATCTGAACCACTCATAAAGCCACAACATACAGAAACTAGCAACCCTTTAATCTGCAAGTTTTACAAATCATACAAAAACATTCATCCTTTGTCTTTTCTTTTTAATTTGGTCTGCCATATCCCACTTCACTAACAGAGTATATTGAATCAGCATCAGTATTCGCTTGGCATGGGATTTTACTTGTTTTAGGTGAGTGTCTATTTGAAGTGCTACTGTGCTGCTCTTCCACTGTTTTCATCAGTAATAAAAGTCTATATTTTGTTTTTATAGGTACAAATCATCCTGTTACAGTCATAATACCAACCACACCATAAGTTTCTTTTTAATGTAAAGAGACTAAAATTATATTTGTGTGTTTAAATATTCATTTTACACTGGAGACTCCAATTTACTATATTTTCTATGGCTTTCTTGACATAAACTTCATTTGCAAAAAGCTTTTTGGCAGTAGTATTTGAAATTTTGAAGTCCTGTCAATTAAAAAAAATAGATTAGTGTTTCGAAGACTTACTTTTTAAAGCAATTCTGTTGATTCAGAGACTAAGTCAAGCCTTAAAGTTAATTTAAATATTCAGGTAACCTTTTTTCAGTTCACATTTTAAAGATGATTTAAGCTTTTATATGGTCATTTTAAAACTTACTTCAAAATTAAGGTCTCGGATCAAAACATCTCCATTTGGCGTTGCTAAAGGAACATGATCAAACCTAAAGGGGAAGTTTAAAAAAGAGAATTACTTTAAAGTATATAAGGAAATAACATAACTCAATACTACCAAAAATACAAATAACCTGATTAAAAAATGGGTAAAGGGCTTAAACACCTCTTAAAAGAAGAAATTCAGATGGCCAACAGGTGTATGAAATGGTGCTCAACATCTCTAATTATCAGGAGAATGCAAATCAAAACCACAATGACACATCACCTCTCACCTGTTAGGGTGGCTACTATCAAAGAGACAAATGGTAAAGGTTGGCAAGGATGTGGAAAAAGGAAACCTTGGACATTGTTGGTGGGACTACAAATAGTACAGCTATTATGGAAAACAGTATGGATGTTCCCAAAAAATTAAAAATAGGACTACTATATGATCTAGCAATCCCATTTCTGGGTACATTTCCAAAGGAAATAAAATCAGTAACTCAAAGAGAATCTTTCGCCCATGTTCAATGAACATATGACTATTCATGTTAGTCAATATATGAAAACTACCTAAATGTCCTTCAAACAACGAGAGGATAAACAATAGTGTGTATATATTCACACTAAATATATATTCACACATAAAATACAATAGAATATTATTTCACCTTTAAGAAAGAAGGAAACTGGGTCATTTTCAACAACATAGATGGAGCTGGAGGACATTATGCTAAGCAAAATAAGCAAGACATAAAAAGAGAAACACTATATGATCTTATTTGTACATGAAATCTCAGACAGTCAAACTCATAGAAGTAGAGAGTAGGATGGTGATTATCAGGGGGTAGAAAAAGAGGAAATGGGGTAATACTGGTCAAACAGCACAACATTTCAGTGATACCAGAAGAATAAGTTCTATAGATCCACTGTATAGCCTAGGGACAATAGTAGAAAATACGGCATTGTATACCATTGTATATTTGCTAAGACACATGTAAATTAAATTCTCATCAAACACACACAAAAATGGTGAGTATGTAGAGGTGATAGGTAAATTAATCAGCCTAATTTCACAATGTATACAGATATCCAAGCATCAAGTTGCATACTTCAAATATTAATGTATACAATTTTTACATCAATGATACCTCAAAGCTGTTTTTTTTTTTTAAATAAAAGCAGAAGTAATTTTAAATACTAGACAATTGTAAGCTGAAAGAGAAAGGCTGTTATGAAATTTAACAAACACTTATGGTGCTAAAGAACCTTTTTTGGTACGTACTTTATAATGTTATCTGCATTAATGATTTCTCCAGCACCAGGTATCAAGGGAATGACTTGTACTCCTTCAACACCTTAAATGGAAAATAAGAATTAAAGCATCATATTATGTCAGCAAAAACTTAAAATTGTGACCTTAAACTGTGACACTCATATTTACCCTTTTCCTGTTGTGAGACCATTGTGCGCTCATATTTGCCATGATTTAAATCCTTCAGTACTTGCATTAATTCTGTAATCCGAGCAGTAAAACTAAAATTTTAGAAAAGGAAACCATAATCAAAACTCCAGTCACATCTTTTATTTTATATGAACTTAACTCAAGTTCCTAAAATTGTAATTTAGTATAAGTGAAGTAACCTAAAAGTCTCACATAAAGTATTAAAGACAGCATGTGTGTTTTATTATGTTTCAGGAGGAGAGAAGGAATATAGGGACAAAGGAGGAGGTTTCCATAGGATACCCAACTCAACAGAAACTTCATTAATAGGCAAGTCAGTTATTTGCAGAGAATTTTCAGGAGGTTTCTCTTGGATACTACAAAATGACTGCTACTAGTATATTCCTTAGACCCAGGAAGTATGGTCTCTGAGCACTTGCTGAAGTAACCTACAAAGCCATGTATAATGTTGGTCTTTCTATCCAAGGAAGGCATTTATTAAATGTATGCTAAATACATGCTGCCTCCCTCAAAACAGGGAAAAATCTGAAAGATTCCTTCTATCTTACTCTGAGGAGGGGAAAGATGAAGAGTTCCTATCATTAGATAGAAATCACTGTGGCAATAGAGAAAAGCCAAAACTAACGACAAGAGGTTGGAGATAACAAAAATGACATGATCATCAAAGAGAAAGTATTCTGCATTGAAGAAGAAACAGAATTTTTCTCTGAATAACAAGCAGAAACCTCCTAAAAGAAACTTTGGAAGGTGACTAATATGTTTATAGTCTTGATGGTTTCACAGGTATATAATTTATCCCCATACTCATCAAATTGTATACATTAAATATGTACAGTTTCTTATATGTCAATCATACCTCAATAAAGTGAAAAAAAGAGAAAGAAAGGGGGCAGGGAGAGGGAGGGAAGGAGACACACACACGAGAGAGAGAGAGAGAGAGAGAGAGAGAGAGAGAGAGAAACATCCTAAAGGAAGAGAAGCACTTTATATACCATGAACTGTAAAGGCATAAGTTAACAAGTAGGAAGAACGATATTTTCATGACAGAGACTCTACTCATAGTGTTAACAACTTCTATATTGACAGGTCTTCTAAGAAGGCCTTAATTGCCACAGGAACTAAGAAGGAGGAAAAAGAAAAATACGAAGATGGATCAAAGGCCTCAGAAAGACATTAAGTCATCAAACTTCTTCAGGTGACCTAAAATGTATGGTGTTTTTTTATACCATACTATGCCCCTTACATTGGAGCTTGAAATACTGAAATCTTCATATTTAATTCCATTCTATGATCTAAAGATAATTTTACTACTAAACAATAGGACTACATTCACAAACACACCTACAGATACAAGTTAATGTCTCATTTTTTCCCCATTAAAGTCAACTTCATTTCTATTTATGTTTTGCTAGGCTGCCAGTATCAAAGTTCTAAGAAAAAAAGGTATGATAGAGTATAAGAAAATTCAAATGAGAAAATTCTATTCATTAACTTAGTTTTCTAAAAATTAAGAAAAGACTGTCAAGGATTCACTATTTCCCAACTTAGTAAATACCAGTGTCGATGAGGCAAAAGACTTGAGAGTCTCTAATCTACTGTAATGCACAAACTAGTTGTCTTCAAGAAACAAGAAAAGTTTACCATCAGAAAAATCTTCCTTAATTTTTTACCTACACCTTCTTGGAGTAGGAAATGTTTCCCCCTGAAACTCAACTGGGTATAATCATTAAGGATAATATATTTTTAAAAATTATTTTCTGCAACTGCTCATTATTACTAATCTTACCCAGCCAATCTAGTCATTTCACGCCCAGCCAAAACTATTCGACCCAGAGCTTGAGACATTCGCAAAAGCATTCTTCCACTTTGGTAGTAATCCTTAAATAGAAAAAGATATTAGTTTTTACTTATAGTTCTATGACTAAAAATTTGGCTTTATTTTTACTGTTGAATTTTCATTGTATTATCATCACTTTACCTCTAGAAGTTCTGAATGTGTACTCTTGAGATGTCGAGGATGAGACAAATCTAAGAAAGGGCGACTGACAACTAGGTAACCAACCACAGTGGCAAGGTCTGAAACCAAACAGGTAAGATTTAAAACAGTAACACTATTTCACCTTTTCCACAAATCTCATCTCTTTCAAAACATACTTACATTTAGCAATAATGCTATCAATGAAGCCCATTGAAAACCGAAACAAAATGAAATTATGTAGGTGCTCCACCTGGCAGAAAGCAAAAACAAAAAATGTATTTTTCTATGTATTAAAAAGTGAATCTACTACGAGGATAAAACAAACTGTTTTATTTATTCAGCAGTTCATTTATTCAGCAGATATTTACTGAGTGCCTGTGATTTCTGTTTATATCATACATCACACTTCACTGAGCACAATGCTCATCACAGAGCGGGTGCCAAACACATGCTTCGTGGAACCATTTTTATGCAAACTGCATGGAAATTATGTAAACAATTTTAACAATGCTGTTTCTCTTGCATGCAATGGCGCAATGCTATTGTAGTCACCATAATTTTGGATACATATATCCCAAAAGAGAACAACAATGAAAGCAAAAAGAATAGAGAGATCAACTAGTTTGAGTGAAACACTAGCTCTCCACTCAAAGCAAAGCATTGAGTGCTTTGCTTTGAGTGGAGACAAATGGTCTGTGCTTTACCTAAGAGTTGTATTACACCCAATCTGAACTGAGTGCTTATGTAAATCAGTGCCACACAACCTCAGTTTTAGCTTTAACATGAGCATGCATTCTCTCAAAACTACAAGTCTCAAAGTGTTTTTTATTCTGGAGTTGTAGCGTTCTCAAGCTGTCCAGCCACCAGATTATTCAAGGTCCTGCATGATCTGGCACTGGGCTCTATTTTTAAGGTTATATGCTTCTACTTTGCTTCTTCTCACCAAACTCCATAAATAATGGTTTCTCAAACACGCACCTTCTTAAGGCTTTCCTCTTGCTGTTCCCACTGCCAGGAATACATTCTTCTAAGATATTTATATTTTGTGACTCCTTCATTTTCATGTGGATTTCTGACTAAATGTCACCTCCTCAAGAAAGACCTTGTCCATTCCAGCTAAAGTAGCAGGGCAACAGACCTCTTCATAGCTATCCCTTTATCTTGCTTCGTTTTTGGCCATAGAATTAATTACTATCTGAAATTACACAGAACACCTAGCTGTTTGGGTATTTATTTTCTGTCTTCTCCACTAAAATGTGGCTTCCTGAGTACAGGGCACCTTGCTAACAACTTGGTATCTTCTACAACTAGACAATGCCTGGAACATTTATTCAGTGACTACCATGTGTCAGACACTATGCTCACGCTGGAGATACAATGAATAGAACAAAGAAGGTCCCCGAATTCATGGAGTTTACATTCTAGTGAAAGAAGATAACTGGTAAACAAACAAGATAATTAGAGACTGTAATATAATCATCCTTTGGTATACAAAAGGGATTGGTTCCAGGACCTCTCTGGATACCAAAATCCATGGGTGCTCAAGTCCTTGATGAAAAATGGCATAGTATTTGCACATACCTGAGCACGACATCCAATATGATTGATTGACTGACTGATTGAGACAAGTCTCACTCTGTCATGAAGCTGGAGTGTAGTGAGTGCCACCTCGGCTCACTGCAACCTCCACCTCCCAGGTTCAAGTGATTCTCCTGCCTCAGCCTCCCAAGTAGCTGGGATTACAGGCGCCCGCCACCACGCCCCACTAATGTTTGTATTTTTAGTAGAGACAAGGTTTTGCCATGCTGGCCAGGCTGGTCTCGACCTCCTGACCTCAAGTGATCTGGGATTACAGGGGTAAGCCAAGGTGCCTGGATTATCCCATATACTTGAAGTCATCTCTAAATTAGTTATAATACTTAATACAATGTAAATAGCTATTATTCTAATAGCTGTATTGTTCAGAGAATAATGACAAGAAAAAATGTATACATAAGTACAGACACAATCTCTTTTTCTGAAGATTTTCAATCTGTGCGTGGTTGAATCCATGGATTCAGAAACCACAGATGCAGAGGGTTGACTCTGTGTGTGTGTGTGTGTGTGTGTGTGTGTGTGTATGTCTTTATATACATATACTGTGTGTGTGTATACACAGAAATACTTTTAAGGAAAGATGATGATTAAAACAGGAAGGAACTATTGAAGGCCATTTCAAATAGGCTGATCAGAAAAGACAAAGGTTCAATAAAGTGCTAACATGTGGGCTGAAAATCCAAAAGATGAGAATAAGCAAGCCATGTGAAGAGCAAGCTGTCGAACTGCAGGCCCCTGAAAAATTACCTTAAATACATTCTACGAGTGAGCCCTCTAGAAGTTCTGCCATGTTAAATACTGACGAGGCAAAAATCCAATTTCTGAAATAATTTAAAATGACAATTTCTTTAACCTCTCCAACTCATCTAAAATATACATTTAATTTCACAAACTTCAGACTTCCATTAAAATGTATGCTCCTTAAAGGCAAGATTTTATCCATCATGTCCACCACCATCATCCTTGGCACCCGGAATGAGCACAGGCACCTAGATGGCACTCAATGTCTTTTGAATAAACAATGGAATAAACGCATTTGAATTCAAATTTTCCAAGCAGCAATTAAATAAAAAGCTGAAGTATAACTTTCACAAGAAACAATGCTTATATTCTTTAAAACCAAAAGCCAGCCAACTCTGAGCCATAGTCCAAATCTAGCCTGCTACTTGTTTTTGTAAATAAAGTTTTATTAGAACATAGCCAACATAGCCACACCCACTCATTTTGTATTTTATATATAGCTACTGTTGAGTAGCGAACAGTTGCAAGAGACTATGTCATCTGAAAAGCCTAAAATATATACATACTATCTTGCTCTTTACAGAAAAGGTTCGCTGACCCCTGATTTATGTAATAATCTTTATTGTATTTTCACGAATGCTACAGGAACAAATTCTTTGTGGGAATCACTAAATTTATCACTAAATAAGGCTCCTAAGCAATCACTGTAAAAATAAAATTATTTTAATAAATCTATGCAATTTTATAAATGGGAAGTTAAATATATTGATATGAGTTTTTAACCTCATATGTTTTTATTAGAAATGTAGTATAAAATCTTTTACAGCTATTTTTCAAAATATCTTTAAGATGTGTGTGTGTATGTATACACATATAAATATATACATACATACATATGTATGGGTGTGTGTGTGTGTGTGTGTGTGTGTGTGTGTGTATTGGCTCCAGGCAAAAAAACAAAAAGAAAACAACCAAAAATCAAAACGCTTTCCATAAACACTTGAACTTCAAGTGTGTTATCTTACCAGTTTTCGGAAGACTGAGTGGATTGTCTGCTTTTCTCTTTTATTCCCATTGTAAAAGGCAATTTCTTCACTATTAAAGAAAATAATTTAACAATTAATGTTACTTATGCTTGAAAAATAATTGAAATACAGTATATGATGGCTGAATGTTTGTATTTAAATGAACATTTTGTTACTAAGTGCTTATCTAGTACAACACCTCAAGCCACAGTCTATACTTGAGATTCGGCTCCTAGCTCAGCTGATCAGAGCATAAGAATATACCCCGACTGAATCATACACGGGACTACAATCTATGCCATAGGTATCCTAGCTGGAAAAGATATGCTGTACTAATTCTCAGAAATTCAAAATTAGACAGAGAAAGCAGTTGCTGTGATACACAGAAAGAAAAGATTTCAAGTTAAAGTATAGGCCCAAATAAGAAAGAGATGAAAAAGCAACAGCTAGAAAAGATGGATAGTGAAAACTTGACTTACAGCCTTTTAAAGACAGAAAATCAGGCTAAGTCCTGCCAGCTCCAAAGTGCAAGCTCCTAGGAGGAAACCCTGGAACCCCATCATATCCTCAGAACAATTCTACTTTTCATAAGCAGATGTGCATGGGTCCACAAGGACCACAGGGGTCATGACTAGAAAAAAAAAAGGGTATTTTATAGATGAAGAAAGGTTCCATGTAGTTAATTTGTAAAAAAGCCACACAGCCAGCAAGTCAGGGAGCTGAAATCGTTCCTAACTCCGATCTGACCCTAACATTTATAGTCATTCTATTACATAAGAATGTTGTAAGCTTTCCCAGCAAAGTACCTCTAATGGCAGAGAAAAATAAATATTTATAGAGAAGTCTACAAGGCAAGGTTGAAATATTTCTTTAAAGTCTCTCTTTTTCTTAACAATTTATTTTTTATATTTCTATTTTGAAAGGGACCTGCACTCTTCATAAAAACAAGGTACCGCCTACCTAAGCCTCTTCAAATAAAATTAACTTTCCATAAGATACGACACATTTGTCACGTTTCATGGTTTCCTTGACAAAATGATACAGAGCCTCAGAGTATGAGAATGCTACAATTCTATACCTCTAAGTGCTTTTTAAAAAAACTTCCTTCTACCTCCTCTGTACACCTAAGCCTGTGGAAGAAGATGAGGTGAGGATTCTCCTACTGAACTGAGTCATTTTAGCCTTAATGAAAATCTGAATGGATAAAACATCCTAGAATATTGATGGCTGCCCATCCAACATCTATTCTCTTCATTGTCCTTCTTCCTAAAATAATCCCAACTTTCTTAATGTTACCTATTCTTTTCCACGTACCCTAATGCTTTGGGAATGGCCTGAACCCCATTTATAGAGTCCCAACTGGTATAAGCCAGTCACTTTGCTGTGATTGCTTTAGGCATGGTCAAGTGACAATTCCAGCCAGTAAGACATGAGGGAAAGTCAGCTGTGGGACTCTTCGGAAAGGTTTCTTTGCTCTCGTAAAGATACACCAGGCGAGATGGCCTCTTTTTGTTTCTTGAGCTTTCTGCAGAGGAGAGGGGCTAATGAAATCTGTGACTGCTATTGCCATCTTGTGGTCACAAGAAGAATTAGCCCGTGGAATGGTACAGCATACAAAGTAGGATAGAGTCAAGAGAACACCAGAGAGCCAGAGCCCTGATCATGCCAAGCCTGGAAGTGCTCTGTCTTTTAAGGGTTCTCATGTGAGGCTGTGAGTGTTCTTATTACTGAAGCCATGAGTCACGCTTTCTGTTTCTTTCACTAAAAGGCATCTTTCATTTACTTGGCAAATTACCTCTTAGCTCTATTCCACTGCCTCCCTAGAGAAAAAAAAAAAACAAAAACCCTATTTAAAACTTGTACTATTTTAGCAACCCAAAGAAATAAAGAGGGAACTGTCATTTGTAAATGCCTATAGAGTAGAATATTCAATACATATTAGAACCATCAAAATGACTTAACGTTGACAGATCAATATTTGATAACATTTATTAAGCACTTAAAACTGAGCTGGGCCAGGCATGGTGGCTTGGGCCTGTAATTCCAGCACTTTGGGAGGCTAAGGCAGGCAGATCACGAGGTCAGGAGTTTGAGACCAGCCTGACCAACATTGTGAAACCCCGTCTCTATTAAAAATACAAAAATTCGCAGGGTGTGGTGGTGTGCACCTGTAATCCCAGCTACTCAGGAAGCTGAAGCAGGAGAATCACTTGAACCCAGGAGGCAGAGGTTGGCAGTGAGCTGAGATTGCTCCACTGCACTCCAGCCTGGATGACAGAGTGAGACTCCATCTCAAAAAAAAATAAAAAAAAAAAACTGAGGTGGAAGCTTTATATATATTATCAAATTTAATCCTTATTGTAACCCTATATTATCTACCTAAGATAAACAGAAGTGAAGCTATGAATAATTCGCTAAAATGAAATTCAGGCAATTGATAAGTGGAAGAGCTTAGATTTTGCAGCTACTATGACTGGCTCCAAAGTCCACACTTTTTTCTATCTTACATTTAAAATACTCTAGAAAATAGGTACAGGCACATGCAGTGAGAGTTAATTACTGAGCATTATGAACAGTCAAAACAAAAATATTTGTGGAAAAATTGAGACAAAATTTTCTTAGAACAGGTATTGTAAGTTGAAATTTGAATTGTATCCTGATTATGTCTAAAGTAAAATTAACAGAAAATTCATCAACAGAAGGTATGAACAGGTGAGTCAGGAATATTACATGGTTAATTAAAAAAAAAAGTTCAAAATATTGATGATTACAACTTTACAAAACTAATTTCTTTCATAATGTATATTTTCGATACAACATGAACATTATTACAGTAACAGTGTCACTAGACTTTTTGGAGTCAATCTAAATTACATCCATATCCATAAAAATGAATTTTTAGCACAGCTTTAATGCATTTGTCCTTACCTGTTTGTGATGAGCCGAGAATTAACATATCTATATTCTCCTTCATACTTTTGTTCAGTTATTGTCATCTTACCAATGGGTCTTCTAAGTCGAGTTAGGAATAGCCCCGAAACAACCAAGTAGGCCATCATGCTTGCTGGGCCCTGTCGTTATTGGGAGAAAAAGATACACAAAGTTCTGGGATATAATAAATTCACTTGGATACAAACATGTACAATGTGACTGAAAGAAATTGCTTTACTGGGTAGTTGTTTCCCCTTGTTTCTTTTCTGAAAAAGTACACAGTAGCCTCTACACTTTTGCCGCTCAATGACTTTTCCTCCTACCACTGTAGCTTATCCCTCAGCCCTCCTACATTTTGCTCACCTAATAACTCCTAATTGCAGTTCTCACTTTTTCTGTTATCTAACACTCTTCTGTTGGAACTCTTCTTGATAACCTCTTAAGATTTCACAATAATTCTCAGACCTCTTTTTCTTGCCTACTCTTTTAATGTTAATATTCCCTCAAACTCTTTCCTTAGTTCTCTTCTCACCTAAAATTTATAGCTCTAGTCCTATCACTCTTATGAACCCAAGAAATTATTTCCAAATAAGTACTACAGATCTTTACCTTAATACTGTGTAAATGCCTCAAGCTCAATTCTCCCCAAAGGAGTTCTATCTGCCTTTCCCTGCTTGCACATCTTACTTCCAGCTGCTGTACTATGTCTTAACAACTTTGTAGGTGGCCTCATCACCCACTGACCATCCCAAGAGAAAAGCTTCAAGCGTACCTTTCCAAGTTCATCACAGGCACTTCCCTCATTCCCCTATATATCCTATGCTCTGTCAAACTAAAATAAATGTTTCCTGAACCCGCCATTCAGTGAGGTTGTTCTCATGTTTGGCAAGCCTGACGTATTTAATGGATACCTACTTGTCTCTCCAAAGCAGCTCAAATATCACCTCCAATTCTTCCAGGCCCTAGATACTTTATTGAAATTTCTATTACTGAGCTTTATCATGCTACATATTGTAATTGTTTGACTATCTACCTGTTTTGCCACATTGTAATTCCTCTCGAGCAGGAACTGCATCTTACTTATCTTATTATTTCTCCTATCTAGCACAATATACGTGCAATATAATGTTTTCAAGATTTTAAAAAATTAAATCTGATCAATTCAATGCATTTCAACAACTAGTACAAAGATGAACCAAAAAGATAACTAAAACAGTTTCCGCCTTTAAGAAATGCAGAATCAGATAACAGGTAGACACGGAGTCACATTTAAATATTACAAAAATGTAGTGAGTACCATAAAAATATGACAGCAAGGAGACAAAAAAGATTTGGCTTATTCACTTGCTTATAGTAAAACAAAATACAAGAATGATAAAACCTGGATCACAAGATAGCAAAGAATTAGGAAGATAAACAGGAATATTCGAAAAACAAAATGAAACAAATCCAAAACCCTGTTTCCCAGTGTTTTGGAAAGCAACAAAAGCCAGTATGGGAATAATTTATTAACTAACTATGAAATGTATATACACACATACACATTACACATATAAAACAACCATACTGTTATACGGTTATGTTATAAATGTGTAACAATCACATTACACATTAAATGACCAAAGTTAGATTTCAACAAGATAACTCAAAAAAAATTTAAAAGTGACTCTTGCCATCACAAATATCAGAGACTTGGGTAGTAAGGCTATGGGATAGCCAATCATTTACATTATAAAATATTCTTGGAACTGTTATACCCACTCTAAATGTATCATTATTTGAACATTAGAATTTCATATTAAAATGGATGTCTCCATATCTCTTTTTAGACATTACTTTGAAACACTAAGTACAAGTATACTCAATGTTTGAATACTTCTGTTTTCTTATTGCATTTTAAAGAAGTGGGTCTCGCTTTTTGTCCAGGCTTGTCTTGAACTCCTGGATTCAAGCAATCCTCTCATCTCAGCCTCCCAAAGTGCTGGGATTACAGGTGCGAGCCACCACACCTGGCCATTATATTTGTCTGGTTTTTAATGTCACAACATTTCTCCAAGTGCCTAACTTAAGGAAAATTAAAAGGACAAATTAGTACTTTCTAAATCTCAAGTAAAGTTATTATTTTATAATCAGACTTTGTTAGGTAAATCCATTCTTTGAGATTTACAAAAAGTCTTACAACAGGCCATCAAGCTATTCACAATATGTATTTTAAATACTGTATTATAGCAATTTAAAAGGTGAAATAAAAGTAGACTCACCTGAGCTCCAATTGCACTCGTTAACTTAAAGATATACAAAACTATGTCTAAAAATGGCTGTAAAATAAACATTAGAATACACAGAATTAAAACTAAAGCACTAGAATGATAGCTAATACAACATGTTAACTACAAAATGTTATTAAACATTTAATACATAATTGTCAACATGTAGAGTTCCCACAATGTATAATGTAGTATAATAGCATGTAAATCAATGAATACATGAAAGATAAGTTTTCGTCTCAAGAAACTTAAAACGGGAAAAGCTTAAACAATGTCTACTGACCATCAAGTGGGAAAAACATTTATCACTTTCCATCAACTAAGATACCTCTACTGTGATAACTAACCACTAATAACTCAGTAATGTGTCCACATAATGTAAAGATACTGAATAAAATAACCTGAGATGTAATCCCAAATTTGCTACCAGTTTGTTTCTACATATCTTCACCTGCAAAGTGAGAGGCTCTTCCTGCTCCAATATTGTTTGACTCTATTACTTTATCACTTCTACGGCAAAATAATCAAGTAAGCCTTTGAATCTAATTTTGTGGTGTAAAACTCAAGTCTCTAAAACCAAAATAATATATTAATGTACTGCTCTTCACACACACAGACAACTCAACTTACGCACCATCAGTTGCATTAGTTTGAAGTGCTTTTCAAGAAACCCAAATTGTGTTCATTCACTTTAAGTCAACAGCCACCACTCCTGCCTCCACTTTTTTTTGGAGATAGGGTATGGCTCTGTCACCCAGACTGAAGATCTTGGCTCACTGCAGCCTCCAAAGGAGCTGGGAGCACAGGCACGCACTACGATGCCTGGCTAATTTTTGTATTTTTTATAGATGGGGTTTCAGCATGTTGCCCAGGATGGTTCACAACTCCTGAGCTCAAGTGAGCCACCCACCTTGACCTCCCAAAATATTGGGATTACAGGGATGAGCCAGTGCCCGGCCAACAGCCAGCGCGTTCTAATCCACATTATTACTAGGATAGATGACTTGCTTTGTTAACTGGCTTATGTCAACATCTACTTTTTCTTTTCCCCTTTTTTTTGGCCTTATAAATTATCAAGAAGTTAGAGATACTAGTAAAATTCAAGAACTGTTAAAACTTGACAAAAATAATGACTCATAATTTAAGCTGAAGATAAATTAGATATTTAAAACATCTAATTTAGACAGTGGTGCACAGACCCACTACAATTAATTAATTTGATATTCTTCTCTATTCCAGATGTGACAAAACCTGAGCTACAGACTTGCTCAAATGACAAGATGAAAAACATACATAATAATGTCTACGAAATTAAATGGAAAGTTGTATATATATACCCCCCCATTCCCACCATGCATGCATTCAAACACACACACACACACACACACACACACACACACACGGAGAGAGAGAGAGAGAGAGAGAGAGAGAGAGAGAGAG